TCAGTCAGAGGGCTTATTTATGGTAATAATATGTATACTAAGCCTGAAGGTGGCGCTTTCCTACCGCAGCCATCTTGGATGGTACACATACACAACTCTGCATTGCTCCACCATCTTGTCAGCACTCTAGTTGTTTAATAGCTCTATGGTTTGATCAAAGATACTAGAAATACAAGATAGAGTTCTCCACACAAAAAAAGTGTTCCACCGTGTTCCACCGAAATGCATGGTGGGAATACGAAAAATGGGACGCCCCCTACAGCTGGATCTAAAAAAACTTGTGCCAAACTTTCGTTACCAAGTCGTCGCGTATTTTATTATCAATTCTCAACATAGAAACTAGATATAAAAACAAACTGGAATAGACACCCAGACAGTGACATCGATGAATACATAACCTCCTTGGTGGCGGTAGACATCGTTGCTATTATCCAAATAATACACAAAACAATTAAAGCATAATCATGAATCAGTAAAGAATAAAACAACAATACAGCGCAGAATCACATGGCCGGACGCACTCTTAGTGAAAAAGTTTTCCTCCATTAGTGGGAAAGGAAGGGCGCCTTTTGCGTCTGGATATACTTAGCAACAGAAGGGCGCCCTGTACGTTGGGCACGAAGTATAGGAAACTTGCATGGTTAAACAGAAGGGCGCCGCCTACGTTCGGCACGACTTCCGCCTCATTTTTACAATGCGAGAACTCTCTTGTATTTCTAGTATCTTTGGTCTATGGGCATACTTCATGCAATAGATAGCCTGAATTTTGGTTACCAAGTGATTTATGTGAATATATAAATAAATATAATTCTTTTATTGCACTGAGGGGGCATGTCTTACCATATTTCATTGGCGTCCCATACTTTTACTTTCGTGATTTTTCCCATGAGATAACCTGTATATTTCGGTGGTTTACCATTTTGGCTTATAATATTTTAGTTTAGTACAATTAAGTAAGTCATTCAATTTATTTTGACTTTGTTATGTACAACTAACCAAGTCAATATTTTAAAGGTGTTTAGGTAGACCTATAGTACGGTAGCTTTACATAATACTGTATTTTGATGTTCAGAAATTTTAAAGTATACAGATTGAATGCAATGAAATTGGTTTTATATGGTTAACAGCAACAAGATATTTCTAGATTTTTTTTGTAATTCTTTTAGAATTCAATTGAATTTTTCGACTTTATGTGTCACCATAGTTACACAATTATTAAATTTTATGTTTTTTTCCTTTTTAGATTCTTAAGAAACCTAAGAAAAATTATTCAAGCATTTAAATGTGTTTTTTTGTAAAACTCAAAACTTGTCTGTATATTTTTCATTTATAAATGTCATTGTATTATTAAATGATGGTGGCAAAATATTTAATCATATTTGATTCGCTCGCACAGTTTATCCAATGAACTGGGGCTTCTGTTTTTTTTTTTTATTACCAGATATCTCAACTTTCTTGCAAGACAAAACCACCAATTGTGGATATTATATGATTTAATTTTTTGCCCCAATAATTTGTGGAATGAAAATCAGGAAGCCACATTATATTATCTTGAAGTATTATTTCAACGTTTGGTAATATTCGGCGGGTTTTACGTTCACTTATTTTTATTTGAATAGTACAGAATACAGTAGTTATAGAATAAAATATTATGTATAATAAAACATGAGTGTGTATTAACTATTATGACTGTGTATTGTTGTAGCAGTATTTTTTTTTCTTCTGATGTAAGTTTTGCTTTACCCTTTTGCGTCTACTGCCCGCTTGCAGGAAAGTACCATACATGCTTTATCATTTCTGTACATGTAAGAATAAATCCGGTTGAAGGATTGATGGGATACCTGGCATGGCGTATGTACAATACTCTACAACAAGGTTATTTTCGTCCTGAAATTTCTTTAAAGAAATCAACAAATAAATTGTAGTCACTAAATGCCTGACTGACCTTGATTGACATCAGGCTTTCATGGTACTATGACATTTCGCCGAATGCCAGTTTGCCGCCGGACGTTTGGCCGACAGACAGTTGACCGAAAGAAAATTCACCGACACCGGAATTCGCCGAAATCGAATTTGCCGACTGGACGATTCGCTGACAACCAATTCGCCGACAACCAATTCGTCGACAGACATTTCGCCGACAACCAATTCGCCGACAGACATTTCGCCGACAATTTATTTTTGTGATGTGATTGATGATTCATCGTCGTACGAGGACATTTTGCCGAATACCAGTTTGCCGACGGACGTTTGGCCGACAGGACAGTTGACCGAAAGAAAATTCACTGATACCTGAATTCGCCGAAATCGAATCCGCCGACTGGACGATTCGCCAACAGCCAATTCGCCAAAAACCAATTCGCCGACAGGCATTTCGCCGACAATTTATTTTTGGTGATGTGATTGATGATTCTTCTTCGTACTAGGACATTTTCCCGAATGTCAGTTTGCCGACGGATGTCAGTTTGCCGACGGATGTTTGGCCGACAGACACTTGACCGAAAGAACATTCACCGACACCGGAATTAGTTATTCATACATGCAGACACACTTTCAATATATTAATCATGCATTAAGATTCTTTCAAAAATAATAAATACAGGCCTATCATAAACACACGTTCATGTATATTTTTTTTATTAAATATTACTAAGAAAATCATAAGCGACTGTAATAACTAAACCAATATAAAGGGCACTTTTTTTAATTGGTAAAAATTGATACAGAAAGTAAGACAGGATAGAAGATACCAGGTGTGAATCTACTGCAAATTTTTATGGAAAATTGAAATGTACACAATACACTTTAAAGTAATAATAGGCCTATTTCAAATGTTTGAAATGCACCAGAATACGACGTACAAATATACAGTAAAGTTTAAATGCACAAGTGGAGAACACATGAAATTATTAATTAATTGATAACTTTAATTCATTCACGTATAAAATTCAAAATATAGCAGCACAAGCTGAATTTCAGTTTGAATGTACGGTACAAATTAGGCAAATCAATAAATTATTGGGTGGCCTATATACAAGTTGAATTTAAAAAAGCCAAATTGATTATCTGTTTATATATACATTAGATACAGAAAATGACAAATTCAAAATAATAAGGAAATGTACATAAAAATAGATGGTCATACAATTAAGAAAATATTTATTCATTAATAAATAATAGTTATGTAACAACATTGCATAATACTGTAATACAATAACTATTCAATCAAAATAAAATATGGACGGTGCACGAAAACATAATATATATACGTCAAATAAATGCTGTCTGAAACGTTATTACTTGTTTCATTTGTTCCTAAATAGGTACTTCTTCGAGACTCACTGAAATTTTTCGTGGCCTGAATTTGGGTCGTGACCCACAGTTTTGGAAGCCCTGAAATGTGAACTGACATCAAATCGGTGTCCTTTACAAATGGAGATGTTGAAATATTGTGGTTCAAATCTGATTTTGAGTTCGCCGTCAAGTATGATAATGGTTTGTTTCTCATGGATGGGTCCGGGTGAGATCGTCGTAATTTGGTTTCACACGGAAGCGGTTCTATGATTTTTCCCCCAATTTTTTTCATTCATTTCAAGAAGCGCTCAAACGTTCGCTTGCACGTCTGAGTTTGCCGACAAACGTTCACCGACAAGGTGAAAGCATGGGAAAATATTAGGGGCTTGTTTCTCATAAGCCCGTTCGGTGGTGGTATATAAAAACTAAGGGCCTGAAAATTTTATCATTTCCATTCGTTCATCACGGAGTTTGTCTGAACTGAACGAGGCGGTCGCAGACTTCTTAATGAATGCATATATCCTTGGTAAGCAGAGAGATGCAACCGGTTATTGGAGATGCGAGAAAAGGGGTGAATATGAGGCTAGATTAACAACAGAGTATGACCGTCTTAAAAAAATCAGCCTTCTGAGCATAGTAACACACGAGATCCAATACGAATGGATGTCGCAAAGACTGTGTCCGAAATCAAATAAATACACTGTACATGAATTTAAAAAAAAAAAAATTAATTAAAAATAAGCTTGGGGATTTAATGCCAGTTAAATACACTCCATAATACATATTGATGTTACAATGACCTTATTTATTGTTTCATATTACGAAATCACAAAATTTACAGCATTCATTTTGAAAAGAAGCCCTCTCCTCCCCCAACCCACCTCGTTATTTTGCAAGAGTAGCCTCGAAAAGAAGCCCATATCGAAAAAGAAGCCCATTCAAAGTTGTCATCGTTGCAGCCCTGCATCGGCCCCAGATTATTACGGCCCTTCCATTACTATAAAGCATAGTAATACGTCGTTACTAGAATAGAATAATTATTTTTACGATTTAAACAGTGGCCTACTAATTCTTCTTATCATGTAGCTATATTACAGTTTGGAAGTTTCAAATTTAATGCTGAAGACATAATTTAACATTTGATATCTGTAAGCTGTTTACAGTATTCTGTACTAGAAAGGTTTTGGACACGTAACCGAAAAATAAATCATCTAAATATGCCACTTGTGACACATCCATCCATTAACATGTTTACAAAAAATTTCAGCAAATCGTCCTGTCGGTAAACTGGCATTCGGCGAAATGTGTTGTCGGCAAAATCTCGTGTCGGCTTTTCGTTCGGTCAAGCCTGTAGGCCAAATGTCTGTCGGTGAATCATCTAAATATGCCATTATGTGACACATCCATTCATTAACATGTTTAAAAAATGTCGGCGAATTCGCTGTCGGCAAATTTGCTGTCGGCGAACCACCCTGTCGGCAAACTGGCTGTCGGCGAAATGTGGTGTAG